TCTGTACCTGTGTAGGCGCGACCCACGCCACGTCTTTACCTGTGTACGCGCGACCCACGACACGTCTTTACCTGTGTACGCGCGACCCACGACACGTCTTTACCTGTGTACGCGCGACCCACGACACGTCTTTACCTGTGTACGCGCGACCCATGACACGTCTCTACCTGTGTACGCGCGACCCACGACACGTCTTTTCCTGTGTACGTACGACCCACGACAAGGCTTTACCTGTGTACGCGCGACCCACGACACGTCTTTACCTGTGTACGCGCGACCAGCTCGCTGACCGAGCACGCTTCGTCCTGAGGCAGCTCTAGCAGGGCGTGAGTGATGATGCCGTCCAGCCCCGCCCTGATTCTGAACTCGTACATGTCGTTCACTCGTCCGGCGTCTAGCCGCAACTTCTGCAAGCTCTGCTTCACCTGGAACGCCCACGCAATCGCTGTTCACTGCGAACGCTGACTCGCGAAGGAAATCTCGAGTCGGAATCGCGTATGTGGTGACTTCAGACATTGTACGGTTATATTTATTATTTACGGGTTTTTATATTTTTAGGTGTTATTTTCACTTGATGCATGCGTGCATTAACTCAGGTATCTATAAGTACACGTGGTACATAATATCATACTACGCCAAATCTGAAGAGATTACCCCCCGGACGGATCGTTGGACAGATCTATTCAGGCCTACTATCTAAATATTAAAATCGTTACCTACACGGTTACTGTTTTACAAAATATATAACAACTATTGCAAAATACACTGATAGGCCTTATACTGCTGCTACTACTGCTGCTACTACTGCTGCTACTGCTACTACTGCTGCTACTGCGGCTACTACTACTGCTACTACTGCTACTACTGCTGCTACTGCTACTACTGCTGCTACTGCTGCTACTACTACTGCTACTGATGCTACTACTGCTGCTACTGCTACTACTGCTGCTACTACCGCTGCTACTGCTGCTACTGCTGCTACTACTACTGCTACTGCTACTACTGCTGCTACTACCGCTGCTACTGCTGCTACTGCTGCTACTACTACTGCTACTGCTTACTTTGTCAATAAAGTTGCACACATTGAGACTGGTCCACGTGATAGAAGTCAGCCCAGCAGAGAAGCTGTGATCCAACATGGCGACGTGAGGTGCCATCAGTGGTTCTAGGAAGGGTAGGATAGAGAGCCTCACTGCTCGGTTCTCCTCTAGTAGAGCCTACAGGGAACACGCAAAAACAGAAATCAGTGACAACGGCTGACGCAGCCACTAGTCTACTATACGGTTACCTTCTAGACAGCCCACGTGAAACGCCATTATTTTAGATGAAGTCAAAACGTTAATATACCACGTTATGCACGGTCTATGTCTCTTTGTGCTGACGCTGGGCTTGTCTCAGGGCTAATTACTGAGGCTGTCTCAGGACTAATTGCTGAGGCTGTCTCAACACTGATTGCTAAGCCTGTCTCAGGACTGACATTTCAGTCCGTCTCGGGTGACCCTGACAGTTGACCCTGCCTCAGTGCTAACAGCTGAGCTTGTCTCAGTGCTGATCGTCGACCCTGTCTCAGTACTAACATTCAGGCTGTCTGGGTGCTGACAGTTGATCCTGTCTCACCGCTGACAATTGACCCTGTCTCAGGGCTGACACTTCAGTCTGTCTCAGTGCTAGCAGTTGACCCTGTCTCAGTACTGACATTGAGTCTCTCTCAGTGCTAGCAGTTGACCCTGTCTCACCGCTGACAGCTGAGCTTGTCTCAGTGCTGACAGTTGACCCTGTCTCAGTACTGACATTTCAGTTTGTCTCAGTGCTAGCAGTTGACCCTGTCTCACAGCTGAGCTTGTCTCAGTGCTGACAATTGACCCTGTCTCAGGGCTGACACTTCAGTCTGTCTCAGTGCTAGCAGTTGACCCTGTCTCAGTACTGACATTGAGTCTGTCTCACTGCTAGCAGTTGACCCTGTCACACCGCTGACAGCTGAGCTTGTCTCAGTGCTGACAATTGACCCTGTCTCAGTACTGACATTGAGTCTCTCTCAGTGCTAGCAGTTGACCTGTGTCTCACCGCTGACAGCAGCTGAGCTTCGCTCGGGGCTGATACCTGCGGTTATCTGAAGACTGATTGCTGAGCTTCCCTCAGTCCTGATTACTGGGGCTATCGCTAAACCGATTGCTGACCAAGGGCATACACCAACCCCACTCTCCAGCGGTGTACATAAAGACCGCATTACCTGTATCAGCTGGACGACCGAGCTACGCCCACAGATGATAGTAAGAACTGATTATAAACTGTGGCAAGCACACATACGGTCAAGAGCTAATAAAAACCTAAGAGGTGTTTATTAGCTCTTAATTGATACGCTCTTGATACGGTGTAAAGCTGTTTATTCTGCGCGCGTCTCTCTCTCTCTCTCTTTCTATACAGCACACGACATGCGAACGTACGAGCAACGTATGTACTCCGTGCCGGTAAACCCGTGAGAAGAAAAACAACAAGATAGCTGCAAATCGTGAAAGAGAAAAAAAAAGTTCCAGTGATCTAAATATTCTGAAGAATGTTCAATGTCATGACGAAGTGACTAACGGTATCCTCGCAGACCGAGCGTGTTTTGGAATTTTTTTTTACATACTGCAAAACAGCCGAGCGTTACCATCGCGACGACGTGCATATATATAATACATATATATATATATATATAATACAATGACTGGAGTCGTGAAGCCACCGGATGGAGGCTGGGGCTGGATGGTGGTGCTAGGTACGGCCGTGATCATGGCCTTCGTCTGGGGTCAGCAGAAGGCGTTCGGCATCTACATCATAGACATCAGCGATGCACTGCAGGTGGATACAGCGCCCACGGCTCTCATTCAGGGACTGAACCTAGCCTTTCTCTTCGGGATGGGTGAGTAGTAGTAATAGTAAGCCGTAGAAGCAGGCATCGTGTGCGATTTGCTGGCACCTCAGTAATAAGTCCGCCATGTGCTACATAAAACGCGTGAAAATCCCGATAGCTAGGTGGCATTCGGTCAATGACATGTCGTATTTACTTTCAGCGAGAAGTAAACAGAGAACCGGTTACATACGAGTAGATAACCCGGTATATATTCCAATACATATCCCTGTCATCAATATATCGTAAGCGAGAAAATCTCATACTTTCTGGAAATAACGTCGACATTACGTATTTGCAGCAAGTATGAAATTTTCTCGCTTATAATATACTAACAAGAGCGTATTAAGTACTTAATACATAATTAAATTATTTCCACCAAGTATGAAATTTTCTCGCTTATAATATACTATCAAGAGCGTATTAAGTACTTAATACTTAATTAAATTATTTCCACCAAGTATGAACTTTTCTCGCTTATAATATACTATCAAGGGCGTATTAAGTACTTAATACTTAATTAAATTATTTCCATCAAGTATGAAATTTTCTCGCTTATAAGAGCGTATTAAGTATGCTTAATACTTAATACTTGATACGCTCATGGTGTCATCGTTCTGGTGATAACAATCTGGTGTTTACTGCAGGTCCGCCAGGCAGTGTCATGTGTAGGAGGGTTGGGCACAGGGCTGTGGCCATGACAGGAGCTGTACTGGCCGCGTCTGGCCTAATCCTGAGTTACTTCTCCTCAAATCTCATCCTCCTCTACATCTTGTACGGTGTGGTGAACGGTTAGCATTTATTATTTCCAGTACTTTTCATACAAATCACTTCATACTGAGTTACTCACAAGTAACCCCTAGTTATCTTCATAAGAAAAGAAAATCCTCATGAAACGCGGAAAATTTATTTACTGCGAACAGGATCGTAAGAATCATCATACTAATGCTCTACCACTGCACTAATCCTCGATGAATAATTATTTTCTCTGTGTGTGTATTGCAGGCATAGGAGGTGGCTTGCTGATGATCAGTATCTTCGCAGTACTGAACGAATACTTCAAGGAGCGAATAGCCTTTGCCACGGGGCTGGCCGTCGCCGGCAACGCCGTCGGTACCCTCGTCTTGCCGCTCGTCATCAAGTCGCTCAATGACAGCTACGGCTACAAAGGCGCTCTGCTCGTTAATGGCGGCATGGCACTCAACATGATCCCGTGTGCCGCCCTCTATCGGCCTCTGCGCAAACCGCAGGGGAGACAGGCGGGCGCGTGCGCGACGAGCGTCAGCACGAGGGAACTGATGGAGTATGCGCAGCCTGTCGCCGACGACCTGCCGCCGACGACGGCCGACGGTCGCGTCGACGCAGCCGAGAGCGTCCCGCCGCCGCCGCCGTCGTCCGACCATCGTTTCTCGTGGTCGATATTCGGCATCGGTCGCTACTGGATCCAGACGGCCAGCTTAGTCTGCCTGCAGGTGCTAGTCGTCAACTCGAGCATCTACCTGCCGCGCGTCAGCATCGAAGTCGGCGGCGACGACGTCAACGAGGCGATAGCACTGTCGCTCGGCGCCATCACGTCGACGATCGCCATGGTCGCCTTCAGCGCCCTTTGGGACACGCGGATGTTCCGCAGCGCCGTGTCGCGCCAAGTCGCGTACTGCGTCGCGTGCGCGACGCTGGGAGTGGCGACGGCCTGCGTCGGGTTCATCGGCAACTACGCGATGCTGATGTTCTGGGGCGTCGTGACGCTGCCGCTGCTGGATACGGCCGCATACTCGCCGACGTTCATGATCCTGCGTGACGTCGTCACGCCGGCGCGCTACTCGGACGCGCTGGGTGTGAGCATGCTGATGATGGCGCCCATCAGCTTCGTGTCTCCATTCCTCATCGGTACTAATACTGCTACTACTGCTGATACTATTACTACTTCTACTACTAGGCCCCCTACTACTACTGCTACTGCTACTGCTGCTGCTAGTGGTGCTGCTGCTGCTGCTGCTGCTGCTGCTGGTGGTGGTGCTGGTGCTGGTGCTGGTGCTGGTGCTGGTGCTGGTATGGTGGTGTGCTGGTTCTGGTTGCTTGCTGCTGCTGGTGTGTGCTGGTGTTGGTGGCTGGTGTTGATGGTAGTGGTGGTGGTGGTGGCTGGTGTTGCTGCTGTGGTGGCGGTGGTGCTGCCTGCTGGTGGTGGTGCTTTGGTACTGCGTGCCTGCTGCTGCTGCTGCTTGCTGCTGCTAACTGCTACTGCTACTGGCTATCTACTGAGCTACGTGCTGCTATCTGCATACTGCTATGTATTACCCTGCTGCTGCTTGCTGCTGCTGCTGCTGCTGCTTGTTAACTGCATACTGCCTACTATGCTGCGTGCTGCATGCTGCTGCTGTCTGCTACTCTCTCTCTCTCTCTCTCTCTCTCTCTCTCTCTCCTCTCTCTCTTCTCTCTCTCTCTCCCTCTCTCTCTCCCTCTTCCCTCGTCGTCCTCGCCCTCGCTCTAATTCTTTATCTGCTTCCCTTTATCTTCCTTCTTTCTCTTGTTCTCTTTCGCTCTCTCTCTCCCTCACTCGCCCCCTCTTTCCCTCTTTCTCCCACATCTCTCTCTTCCGTCATCTTCCTCAGCCTCGCTCTAATTCTTTATCTGCTTCCCTTTCTCTTCCTTCTTTCTCTCGCTCTCTTTCTCTCTGGCTCTCTCCCTCACTCTCTCTCTCTCTTTCTTTATTTACCAAAAAAAGCATATCAGCCTTCGATTACGAGGGAGCTAATTGGACTAACGAGCGGGTGCTTGTTCTTTCAGCAAGCATCTATGACGCGACGGGAACTACGGCAATGACGTTCGTGGCTCTGGGCACGTGTGCACTTGCTGCCGGCCTCGTCGGGTCGCTGCTTCCAATCCACGGCATCGTGTGCCAACAGAAGAGCACAGATGACAGCAACAACAGCGCGACAGTAAACCCCATCTAGGTCACAGCTATGACAGCAAACCGCAGCTAAGTATACGTTACGGAGGATATAGACTGCGCACCTAGCTAAGCTACTAGCTAGTATAAGCCTGACTTGGTCGGAAGATACAGAATGTGTAATCACGGTAGATGAATTGCAATAGCAGTAGAAAACAATAATGTATGTAGTCCATAACTGGAGAGATGATGCACGACAAGCTCACTCTTTACTCGGAGGGAAACCAAAACCGTCGATCGTCCAACAATATCAGTGCATTGTCACACGCGATGGCCATTTCGTAACAAAACTGAGGTAGATTTATTTCCCAACGCACACAGAAATGAGATTTAACGCTATTTTAGAATATTCTCGTTCTAATTCGTTCTTTAAGTATATTTAGCTAATTACTTCACGAGATAATAAAAGTTCATAACGTTCCATTTTACGTAGCGATGGCATATAGTCATTATACTTTATCCCGTACGAATAGCTCGGTGTTAACGTATGAACATAATGAGTCTAAACCTGCATCACAATATACTATGCTAGAATTAAATACTGTTCAATAATAAGGGTTAAAGTACTCGTTGCAGAATGTTAACGATTTTATAATAAAAGAACGGTTATTATTAGAACATTGCTTCTTCTTATCTGTAATTTATTATAATTTCTGTATTTCGTACACCCAAAATCGATCCGAACAAAAAAGCGCGTTGGCATGGTGACATGAGTTCATTACCACGACAAAATGTTGATATTAACTTAATGAGATTTGGTGTGAAGCGATTTTAGCTATTACGTCAACTCAACATCAGACTAGAGGCCGAGATTCTGCCCAACTATCCCGCGCGTGAGCTCACGGCCCGTGATCGTGATCTAACGCAGATCTTATATTCGGGGCTCCCGCGCGTGAGCTCACGGGAGCAGCCGTGATCGTGATCTAACGCAGATCTTATATTCGGGGCTCCCGCGCGTGAGCTCACGGGAGCAGCCGTGATCGTGATCTAACACAGATCTTATATTCGGGGCTCCTGCGCGTGAGCTCACGGTAGCAGCCGTGATCGTGATCTAACACAGATCTTATATTCGGAGCTCCCGCGCGTGAGATCACGTCGAATAGAATCGAATGCATAGATGACGTCGCAGAGGTGTCCGCATCATACTGACACACAACCAAGAAAAATAAAAATCGAAGATCTTCAATATTTTGTCAATTTATTCATTGTCAATTTCCAATATATTGTCGGGCAGCCTTACGCGATTTTTTTTACGAAAGCAAATTCGATCGTAAATTAATCGTTCTTTGAATTCCGCGGACATTCTTTCAATTTCATGGCGCTGGCCCTGTCGGGCGCTTACATACGATGGATTCGGATGGGATTTCCTACATGATTTTAACAATGGCTTTTTCCAGTGTATTGGTCACGGAAAAATAATCGAATGAAAGTGACACACGGAATACTTATCACATGAAAATACACCACGCGCAAAAATAGCTACACAGAAAAGTGGGTAGAAAATATGATGGATTATTCTGAAACTGCATAGCGGTATTTATTTCTGATTTTGAACGCATTGTTTAACATTTTGTTCATACCTCGACAAATTAAGTTCTGGAAACATTCGTTTTCAGGTCCAATTCCTGGCCCTCGCCAGCGCCCGAGTAGGTCAGCTATATATGTAGTCGGTTCTGGGTGTTGCCAGTCAGTGATTTTTATCTCATCATCACCCATCACGGGTATATATTGGTAACGAAAATAGTTGCCAAAATAAATATATTCGACGGTACATAGATGGGTAAAGATATTAGTGGTGATATTAGATCGTGTAGTGTTGTGTGGGGTGGGTCACTGGGTGAGGTATGTGTGTGTGTGTGTGTGTGTGTGTGTGTCAATTTCTAGCAGCCTTATCCTATATATGTCACGATTATAAAATAAACATTAACCGTTCACTCATACATGATCTTTCACCCATCTACACGTAGCATAAGATGTATCTCCACCTCGCCCAATGACTGATCGCTGCACTTGTCACACGGATCTGCGAGTCTGTACAGCAATACAAGTAGCACAAGACACAAGTAAGGCGGTAAGTACTTGCGAATTTTATGCGCTCTCACCTGCGATCCACGAAATCCAATTAGCTGCACATGCTAATAAAGTTTATCTCAGTTAGATCCAAATTAAGTTAAAAATAACTTACACTGACGAAGTTTTCGTCCATCTCTCCGATAGACTTCCTCATGTCTGATGTTTCAAACATCAGACCTGAGGAACAGTGTAAGTTATTTTTAACTTAATTTGGATCTAACTGAGATAAACTTTATTAGCATGTGAACTATAGAGATCCGATTAAATTATTCAATCACTAATTAGCTGCATATTACGCATGGCGTCAAGGCGCCGTATTAAAGAATTACGAGTTCTTGATGGTATGTCTATATCGTAACATATGCACATGGGCACTCGCTGGACCTCTTTGTGACGTTGCTACGATGAATGTGTTCATACATACACACGCACTTAATTAGCACACACACACGAACGAACGCACGCACGCACGCACGCACGCACGCACGCACGCGCGCACGCAAGCACGCATACACTGCCATCGTACTGTGTCACCATTGGTACACCAAGGTTAATCAATTTTCCTTTCCTCTTTTCCACGTATGCAGCAGTGGAACGTTGTGTATCGTTGTAATTGTTGCTGGTGCTATCTCCCAATCTCACTGCATACACGCATGGGGCGGCAAGCGATCACGACACAATTCAAACTAATATCGATAATATATATTACCGTCATCGTCTGAAAGAAATTATCATAATACTACAGTCACTAAATGATATAAATGAGCTGAATGCGAAAGATAAGTTTTGCGGTAAAATCTAACAGTAAAACACTACAAAACAACTAGCGTTATTAGTATTTAACTTTAATACATCCATCAAAATGCACACTAGTTGTGGTTCTAGAGAGCAATCCCTTTCTATTTAGGCGAAATTTAGCGATGATTAGATTAGTTCTGTTCATGCCATCGTGCAAAACGAGTTAAATCAATGAGGCGGCGCTCTCTCAAGTATTGCCTCTCGATATATATAATAGCAAGAGCTTATAATACTAATAAATTATAATTATAGCTAATAATTATAAGCTCTTGATAATATAATATAATTATAATAACTTGTTTCAGGTTCCAAACAACGAAAAAGACAACTAGACGAAAACAACGACCAAGACGAGCCGTCTATTTCCTGCACTCGAAGTAATGGCTTGAAACTCCGTTGTCTGACTTGTTTGATGATCAATGCCAATTCGGCAAGACCGACGAAAATTTTATGTTATAAAAATGATCAAAAGTTAGGCACGCGACATTCCGTGTCATAGAAAAAGCTGCTAACTCGGCTGCCGTCGTCACCATCAGTGATGTCATGCGTCAATAACAAACGTAGTAAGCAGTAAATGTATACGTAGTAACCGTATACACTGAATAAAATCGAATCTTGCGCAAAAAAAAACAATCGCAAAATTTGCCATCTGAATTCGTTCTCCGACGCAGTGTTGCTGTTCATCCAATCTACCCATCCATGTTTCTTGTGTAGGGAAGGTACACTTGTACGCACCTTTCAGCATGCGAAGAGGACCACCAAACAAGGACCGCCCACCGCCTCCAGACGGAGGCTGGGGGTGGGTCGTCGTGTTCTCCTGTTCGGTGTGCATGGCTCTGACGATGGGACAGGCGAGATCGTTTGGAATCTACCTCTTGGACATAGTCGAATCTCTTGATACGGACGTCTCCAGAGTAGCTCCAATACAAGGTCTCAGCCAGGCGATATCGATGATAATTGGTACGACATAGTGTAACAGTCGTTACGGCTTTTTGGTAATGGAGTTACTGCTAATAGCGTTTGAACACGCAAGCATTTAATTGGCAAAGCACGGGGGTGTTAGGTGTACAGGCCGTGTACTAGTGTGCATATCTGCCTCGCTGACGGACGAAATCATGTAAATGGGCGCGGAGAAAATGTGAAACTGAATCTTTGAAAACATTAACATTTTCGGCAAACGCATTTTTTCGCGTGCGATTCTCGTGATTTATAAAGGGTTCCTTTTATTTTTCACCATGAATTATATCACAGTCCTTGGACATTTTCTTAGCATACGCTTGGCTCCAATTCGAATGTATTCGATAAGATAACAAGAAAGACGAGATTTATAAGACGACATTAAGACGAGACAAGTCGATTAAGAGCAATGAATTAACCATACCATGAATATAATAAATGTACTATGACTTCCTGGCAGCAGGTTGATAACGTATTTTCACTTGTTGTACGAACAGTGGGTTAAAGACATACTATGAGTAAATTGAATGCACTAGGCCTTTCTGGTAACAGGTTGATAGCATCTTTTCGCTTGTCACAATAACGCTGAGAACTAAGGTAATTGTGTAACAAAATATCAAGAGCTAATAATATGAACGGTATTATTAGCTCTTGAAAATATGCATGTTGATTTGAACGTGTTGTTGCAGGGCCGGCGGCGAGCGTTATGATAAGAAAGATTGGACTCAGAACAACGGGTATTATCGGAGGATTTCTCGCTGGCCTTGGAATGATCTTGGGCTATATCTCCCATAATCTTGTCCTTCTCTACATTACCGTTGGCGCCATCAATGGTAAGTTCCGCAATTGCGAACCGACTTCTTTCACACTGTACACAACACATTTAGAATATAACTCCCCTCTCGTCTAATTAGCTCGATTCGAAGCATGCAAGCAAAACTACAACGTTGTTTTGGTGTTTCGCTTATGACCATAAAACAATACCACCTTAATATCAAGCAACATCACAAGACAAGTGTTTTTGCACGTCGATACACGTGCATCTAACACGACCGAACAACCGAATCGTCGAACATTATCAGGTATCGTTTAGATGAAGAACCGCGCTGTTACATCTCAAGTCGTCTTTTTTATAGGAGTTGGTTCGGGCATAGTCAACATAATTACATTCGGAGCCATTAGCGCATACTTCGAAAAACGCGTAGCTCGCGCCATCGGCATGGCGATGGCAGGCGCCGGTTTGATTGGTCTGCTGATACCGCTGCTCGTGAAATGGCTGATCGACGAGTACCGCTACACGGGAGCGATGCTCATCAACGGCGCCATCATCCTCAACATCATCCCACTCTGCGGTCTCATCATTCCGCTGGAGGAGCTCGCTAAAGCGGACAAAGCCGCTGCGAGCACGCCCGCAAAGCCGTCATACAATACGAGCCTGAGCACGAGCCAGCTGCTCGAACACAGCGAGTCAACTGTCTTACCAGAAACCGACGGAATGGCGTCAACGAACGACAACGTTTCGATAAACGTGGACAAGAGGGAAGCGGCCGGCGGTCCGCCGCCGCCTCCTCCCGCAGACAAACCGCACACGTTCGCATGGGACATACTCAAGGACGCTCGCTTCTGGATCATCTGTCTCTGCCTGATCTTCGGCGATGCGGCCGTGATGAACTTCATCATCTACCTGCCGCTGCTGAGCGTCGAGATCGGCGGCGACAACATCAACGAAGCCATCAACGTCTCCCTGAGCGGCGTCATCTCTGCAGTCAACATGCTCGCCTGGGGCGCGCTCTGGGATTTCGGCGTCTTCAAGAAGCCGATCTCGCGTCAGATCGGATTCGCCGTTCTCGGCATCGTCAACGGCATCGTCGTCGGCATGACGGGCGTCATCAGCAGCTACTCGTTTCTCATGGTCTGGGTGATTTTCATACAGCCGACGCTGAGCGTCGGCTCCGGGTCGCCCCTGCACGTCGTCATACGCGACATCGCGACAATGGAGAAGTTCCCGGACATGTTCTCGGCGTCGGGCTTCATTCGCTCGCCCTTCACGTTCCTGGGTTCAATCGTCGTCGGTAAGCGCAGCACGGTTTCACTTTATCATCACTTTGTTATCAATTGATTTCTTTTTTTACTGACCCTTATACTTACTTATACGTATTATTTTTTTTTTTTCACTTATTTGTAATGGCGCACAATTTATCTCTCTCTCTCTCTCTCCTCTCTCTCTCTCTCTCCTCCGCTCTCTCTCTCTCTTCTCTTCTCTCTGTCCTCGCTCTCCTTTCTCTCTCTCTCTGCTCCTCGCTCTCTCTTTCTCATCTCTCTCTTCTCTCTCTTCCTCGCTCTCTCTCTCTCTCTCTCCCTCTCTCTCTCTTCTCTCTCTCGCTCTCTCTCCCTCTCTCTCTCTCTATGCCCTCTCTCTCTCTCTCGCCTCTCTCTCTCCTCTCTCTCTCTCTCTCTCTCTCTCTCTCTCTCTCGCTTTCCTCTTTCCTCTCTCCGCTCTCTCCTCTTTCCTCTCTCCGCTCTCTCTCTCTCTTTTCTCCCACCCCTTTCTCTCTCGTGTACGCTCGCGACGCTCTCTTTTTCTCTCTCCTCCACTCCCTCTCTCCAACTCTCTTGCTATGTTTCCCCTTCTCCTTCCCTAACTGTTGCTTACTCTCTCGTCCTGTTCACCTATAGAGTTTCTACGGATCTCGTCTCCATATAAAAGAATACCAGATACGTACCTTTTCCTTAACGAATTATACTCGTGGATTCGGAACAAAGCTAACGCATAATCAAGTGCTAATAGCCAAGTATATACGTGAGAATAGCTGATAACTAAAGCTGGATTTTTTCAAGGTGCTTTCTACGAAAAGATGGGTAGCAGTGCGAGCTTGGTCTACATGCTTCTGGGTGGCTGCGCAATGGCAGCGGGATTGCTGGGAATCCTAATTCCCATCATCTCGCTGACATTCTACGCACCTCCGCCACCGCCTCCTGAGACCGTCACGGACAAGGAGAACCCGACGGAGGACACAAGGTTTTGATGCGGTGACTATATCGCGTATATACAGCCTTGCGGCACCTATGCAAGTTTTACGACGCGTTCTCTATAATGCATCAGGAAGGAATCGCTTGGAATGCGCATGTGCTAAAACATCTTTTGAAAGAGAAGGAAGTCTACACCAGCCGTTGATGCGGTGACAATCACAGACAGCGTTCCGCCATCTAATCGATGCTTTGACACGGTGGTTCTCTATTTTCAGGGGGTGAATGAAAGAAAGAAAAACAAAGACAAAGACAAAGGCAGATGATGAGATGAGTAGATTCACCCGTGAGATTATGAAGCAGAGACCAACCACTTGGCATACACCCGCGCCAAAGCATTTTAAAGATATGTCATTGCCGAAGAGAAACAGCGTTGATTTTGTGTATTCTATTGTAAATACTGCCCCCTAAGGGTTATGGAGTTATAACATGGAACTTACTATCGGTTACTCTCGAACTACACAGGAGATATGAGACGAATAAACTCAAAGATACTGTTAGAGTTGGGAGGTAATTTTCGGTCGAAATTTCAATACCTGCTTTATTTGATAGATCGCACCCATTGGAAGCTATGTATACGTAGAAATTATGCATGTACCCTGCCAAACAGTTCCAAATCCCCGCATTAGTCAATTCTTAACACAGGCGTTCAATCATGGGAAATTTAGAAAAGTTAGTGCTAATATCTTCATTGTTAGAAATGCTGAAGTTGCTGATTTTTCAAACGCTATTTCTCGAAACTCACAACTCCTATTCCAATTTTTTTTAATGTTTCAATGCTAACATATCAAAAAGGAAAAAAGGCTCCCTAGAATTTAAAAAAAAAATTATATATTATAAGTTATGACTTTGTTTACGAAATTGTTGCGTTTTGAAAATCACTACAAATTTTCGTACATCTTTTCAAATTATTTCCTAAATTAAAGCATTCAACAAAATTCCAGGGACATTTTTTAGTTCATATTATAAACAACTTAAGGTTAAAAGTTTAGGTCCCAACTCTTTGCTGTTTCTGAGAAATAACAAAAAAAACGTTTTTTGTATAAATTAACAATTTTTGCCGTCACTTTATTTTTTTTTCATCGAGAGCATAGAGAGACATCTACATCTCTCTTATGTAATGGATATAAGTTTGATTGAATTTAAAGAGTAGTTATGTTGCAATGCCCTTTACAGTGTTACCCGTCCGTAACCCTAACAGTATCCTGAACTAGATGTCATTAGTCCTAGGTGGTTATAAAATTGAAACAGCGATTGATCCAGCTATCAAATACCTGCTCCTCCGTTGGCCTTCAGAGAAACGTTAATGGTACGACCTAGCATCACTGCTATCAGGGTAAAACAGAAGTGAAAGCTCCGGTAAACACGACTAATCGACTCTTGTATTGACCATGGTAGCGATAACAGATTACTACATTCCTAAGCATATATACGAGTGACAACGTCCTATTATGCTGACAGAGAGACCCTAGCAAATACATCCTTGTTAATTAGTGATTAAATTTGTGAATTCGTTTCACTGAGTGCGATATTCGCTGACGTAATATGCACGTATCTCTGATGTATGGAATGAAATGCCCATATTTCGCTACGTAGTTTCAAAAATAGCTTTACTGCACCGAGAGCGCGCTATTAGCAACCAAATTAGTATAGTATACGAGAAAAAAGTTAACGTCAAGTCTCATTTCGTTTCTGACAACGAGGTTTTGGTTCATTTACTCACCAAATACTTGCGCAATTCTATATCAATTTTTTGCACCCAAGTGTTTTATGCACTTTTACTTGCATTCATGAGCACAATAACGATATATTAATATTAACAAGTAGTATTATT